TCTACACTATACTCTGATCTATAATCTAGACTATACACGGATCTATATCGAAAATTTTAAACTAATCTGTTGTGTAAACTATTGACTGATCACTAGATTGATTTGTAGTCTCGAATATTGAATGTGATTTTCTGTATATCTATTTATATTATAGAATATAGGCGAATGATACTGTAAAGTATAGACTTATCTGTAGTTAAGACTACCCGAAGGCTAAGCTAAACAGCGATCTGATGGATTGTGTAGAGATTTAGTGGACGGTTAGTCTAGATTATAAACTAATCTGTTGTCCGCTGATCTATTGTGTAATATATTAAGTGAACTGTTAGTTAGTTAGTTAGTTAGTTAGTTAGTTAGTTAGTTAGTTAGTTAGTTAGTTAGTTAGTTAGTTAGTTAGTTAGTTAGTTAGTTAGTTAGTTAGTTAGTTAGTTAGTTAGTTAGTTAGTTAGTTAGTTAGTTAGTTAGTTAGTTAGTTAGTTAGTTAGTTAGTTAGTTAGTTAGTTAGTTAGTTAGTTAGTTAGTTAGTTAGTTAGTTAGTTAGTTAGTTAGGTAGTTAGTTAGTTAGTTAGTTTAGTTAGTAGTTAGTTAGTTAGTTAGTTAGTTAGTTAGTAGTTAGTTAGTTAGTTAGTTAGTTAGTTAGTTAGTTGTTAGTAGTTAGTTAGTTAGTTAGTTAGTTAGTTAGTTAGTAGTTAGTTAGAGTAGTTAGTAGTTAGTTAGTTAGTTAGTTAGTTAGTAGTTAGTTAGTTAGTTATTTAGTTAGTTAGTTAGTTAGTTAGTTAGTTAGTTAGTTAGTTAGTTAGTTAGTATAGTTAGTTAGTTAGTAGTTAGTTAGTTAGTTAGTTAGTTAGTTAGTTAGTTAGTTAGTTAGTAGTTAGTTAGTTAGTTGTTAGTTAGTAGTAGTTAGTTAGTTAGGTAGTTAGTAGTTAGTTAGTAGTTAGGTGTTAGTTAGTTAGTTAGTTAGTTAGTTAGTAGTTAGTAGTTAGTTAGTTAGTAGTTAGTTAGTAGTTAGTTAGTTAGTTAGTTAGTTAGTTAGTTAGTTAGTTAGTTAGTTAGTTAGTTAGTTAGTTAGTGTAGTTCGTTAGTTCGTTCGTTAGTTTTTTGTTAGTTCGTTACGTTCGTTCGTTCGTTCGTTAGTCGTTCGTTCGTTCGTTCGTTAGTTCGTTCGTCGTTCGTTCGTTCGTTCGTTCAGTAGTTAGTTCGTTAGTTAGTCGTTCGTTACGTTAGTTAGTTTCGTTAGTTCGTCGGTCCTCCCTAAAGTCTTTTTTCCCAATACGTCTGTTTTAACTGTCATGTCTTATTTTTACAGTTTCTCTTTTCCACTTGAACTTCATGCGCAAAATTATAGGATATTGAAAAATCCTAGTAAATGGAGCCAACAAATGACATGTGTAAGGATTAGACATGCATATAAAAGTAATTACAATTTCGCACTATGCTTTGGCAGGATATTACAGATATTCTTTTTTACAGCTGCAAGGCAAGCAAAGTACAATTTTCAATTTATTTTAAATAAATCGGTTACAAAATTTATTTATTTAACAAACATTTATTCAATTACACACTTTCAAACTTTAACATGGTCTTCTTATACATTATTTTCTTTAATTTAACATACAATAGAATACAAAATCTCTTTTTTCTTGTTAACAACTTTGTTTAAAACAATTTATGAAGTTTGCCATTGCCGTACCAAATGTATGATTTGAATTGAAGGTTATTTTTATTATGGATTTCGTTTTGAATCAATGTTGCATATCATAAATATAAAATGACACTGGCAACAATGTCATCATCATTTTATTCATGTTATGCATGCTGCCAGTAGTGTACAAATGTCATCTTTGACAGTCAGTCAGTTAGTAGCAGTCAATCAATTTTTGTGAAAATTCAAGAATATGAGTTTTTTAAACTGTAATCGGAGATTATATGTGTATGAATATATGCACATGGTTAGTAGAAGATAAAAAAACAAAAACAATAAAAAGTTTTTATCACATGCAAGGTCTGCTTGGGTGATACTGCTAGATTGCTAGTTAAAGTTAAAAGAGTAAACGAATTTTTCCTATTTGATGATTGAAATATAAGTGGAGCTTTTGAATGAAAGATTAGCACTTATTAAATTACTGCTCAGTTTTAGTTTAGTTCTAGTTCAGTTCTAGTGTAATTCTAGTTCTGTTCTAGTTCTGTTCTAGTTCAGTTTTAGTTCAGTTCTAGTTCAGTTCTAGTTCAGTTCTAGTTCAGTTCTAGTTCAGTTCTTGATCAGTTCTAGTTCAGTTCTAGTTCAGTTCTAGTTCAGTTCTAGTTCAGTTCTAGTTCAGTTCTAGTTCTAGTTCTATTCTAGTTCTGTTCTAGTTCTGTTCTAGTTCTGTTCTAGTTCTGTTCCAGTTCTGTTCTAGTTCTGTTCTAGTTCTGTTCTAGTTCTGTTCTAGTTCAGTTCTAGTTCAGTTCTAGTTCAGTTCTAGTTCAGTTCTAGTTCAGTTCTAGTTCAGTTCTAGTTCAGTTCTAGTTCAGTTCTAGTTCAGTTCTTGTTCAGTTCTTGTTCAGTTCTAGTTCAGTTCTAGTTCAGTTCTAGTTCAGTTCTAGTTCTATTCTAGTTCTGTTCTAGTTCTGTTCTAGTTCTGTTCTAGTTCTGTTCTAGTTCTGTTCTAGTTCTGTTCCAGTTCTGTTCTAGTTCTGTTCTAGTTCTGTTCTAGTTCTGTTCTAGTTCAGTTCTAGTTCAGCTCTAGTTCAGTTCTAGTTCAGTTCTAGTTCAGTTCTAGTTCAGTTCTAGTTCAGTTCTAGTTCAGTTCTAGTTCAGTTCTAGTTCAGTTCTAGTTCAGTTCTAGTTCAGTTCTAGTTCAGTTCTAGTTCAGTTCTAGTTCAGTTCTAGTTCAGTTCTAGTTCTATTCTAGTTCTGTTCTAGTTCTATTCTAGTTCAGTTCTAGTTCTGTTCCAGTTCTGTTCTAGTTCTGTTCTAGTTCTGTTCTAGTTCTAGTTCTGTTCTAGTTTTGTTCTAGTTCTGTTCTAGTTCTGTTCTAGTTCTGTTCTAGTTCTGTTCTAGTTCTGTTCTAGTTCTGTTCTAGTTCTGTTCTAGTTTTGTTCTAGTTCTGTTCTAGTTCTGATCTAGTTCTGTTCTAGTTCTGATCTAGTTTTGTTCTAGTTCTGTTCTAGTTCTGTTCTAGTTCTTTCTAGTTCTGTTCTAGTTCTGTTCTAGTTCTGTTCTAGTTCTATTCTAGTTCTGTTCTAGTTCTGTTCTAGTTCTGTTCTAGTTCTGTTCTGTTCTGTTCTGTTCTGTTCTGTTCTAGTTCTGATCTAGTTCTGTTCTAGTTCTGTTCTAGTTCTGTTCTAGTTCTGTTCTAGTTCTTTCTAGTTCTGTTCTAGTTCTGTTCTACTTCTATTCTAGTTCTGGTTGTAGTTCTGTTCTAGTTCTGTTCTAGTTCTGTTCTAGTTCTGTTCTAGTTTCTGTTCTAGTTCTGTTCTAGTTCTGTTCTAGTTCTGTTCTAGTTCTGTTCTAGTTCTGTTCTAGTTCTGTTCTAGTTCTGTTCTAGTTCTGTTCTAGTTCTGTTCTAGTTCTGTTCTAGTTCTGTTCTAGTTCTGTTCTAGTTCTGTTCTAGTTCTGTTCTAGTTCTGTTCTAGTTCTGTTCTAGTTCTGTTCTAGTTCTGTTCTAGTTCTGTTCTAGTTCTGTTCTAGTTCTGTTCTAGTTCTGTTCTAGTTCTGTTCTAGTTCTGTTCTAGTTCTGTTCTAGTTCTGTTCTAGTTCAGTTCTAGTTCTGTTCTAGTTCTGTTCTAGTTCTGTTCTAGTTCTGTTCTAGTTCTGTTCTAGTTCTGTTCTAGTTCTGTTCTAGTTCTGTTCTAGTTCTGTTCTAGTTCTGTTCTAGTTCTGTTCTAGTTCTGTTCTAGTTCTAGTTCTGTTCTAGTTCTGTTCTAGTTCTGTTCTAGTTCTGTTCTAGTTCTGTTCTAGTTCTGTTCTAGTTCTGTTCTAGTTCTGTTCTAGATCTGTTCTAGATCTGTTTTAGTTCTGTTCTAGTGCTGTTCTAGTTCTGTTCTAGTTCTGTTCTAGTTCTGTTCTAGTTCTGTTCTAATTCTGTTCTAGTTCTGTTCTAGTTCTGTTCTAGTTCTGTTCTAGTTCTGTTCTAGTTCTGTTCTAGTTCTGTTCTAGTTCTGTTCTAGTTCTCTTCTATTTCAGTTCTAGTTCTGTTCTAGTTCAGTTCTACTTCAGTTCTAGTTCAGATTGTTTCCTATATCTTTTATGGGATTTTCTTTTCCTATTTGAAAAATCTCAACAATGCTTTTCCAACTGTAAAACATCAACTAACACTTGTTGCTTTTCATATCCCCTGCAACATGTTTAGCTACACACAACCTAGAGTTTAGTTAACCTGCTGCTACACTCACAGAAATTCCTAACAACATTTGTATACAACCAAAATTTCATTAGCAACATCCAACATGTTGCGATAAGCAAGATAAATATGCTGCAACAAAAAGGTTCGAACCTGATGTCGACAGACCACAACTAACTGGCAACTAGCAAAGAGCCAAATAAATATTAGAGGTTAAAACAAAAACAGTCTTCGTTGCGCCGTTATACGCGTTGGTTCAATTTGCGTTTACCATTAAACGAAGTGTGTTTTAGAGTGTTAGAAAAGAAATTAAATAGAAAAAAGATAATACAGGTGCGTAAAGCAAAGGGTGAAACGTAAACGAAAAAAAAGAATAAATAAAAAAAGAAATTTTTAATTAATTGATAAAAAAAATAATTGTTTAAAGTTATAATGAGCAGAAATTAAAAAAAGTGTTCAATAAAAATTAAGAGAAATAAAACGAAAAATTATAAATAATTTAGAAGAAAAATTAAGTTAAAGAAAATTTCCAAATTGTTGGAATTAAAAGTGTGAAATAAAAATTTCGTTGTTAAAAATTTATAACAAAATAAAGTGTTTGTTGGTGATTAACTTTTTTAAGAAAAAAGGTAAAGTTTTTTAAAGAATTGAAAAAAATTTATAAAGAAAATATTTATAATTGCTTATAAAGTGTGAAATAGTTTCTATTGTTAAACAATTTATAAACCATTTATCTAATCTTGTTTAAAGAAATGAAAATTGGTAAAAAAAGTTTCGAAAGAATTATCTTTGAAAGAGTTTAACGTGTTATTTTCAACACCCCAAAACACTTGAAGTTTTGTTTTGCTGCACCAGCATGTTTTGGCACGCACGACAGCAAAAACCGTCAACAAGCAATGACAACAATACTCACACACACACACGTTCTCAAACATTTGTGACAAACTGTCAAAACTGACAAGTAATGTTCATATCAATTTAATACTTGCCGCAAAAACAATTCCCCATATAACAACAACTACAATAAAAACCAAATCCTATTTGACAAGTGCAAACGACAACAACAACAACAACAACACCAACTAAAAGAAAAACGTCAAAATAAAAAAACAAGGAAAACAAAATCCCTTCAAAAAAAGAAAAAAAAAGATACTCATCACTTCATACCAAGTTGGTTTAACGCATGCGACTTAAAAAATTCAACTCATACCAACAACAACAACAATAACAACAACTGAATTATAATGTAATTTTTATTTCTACTCAATTTATCAGTTAAAAAAGAAGGCGCTTTTATATGCACCTGCTTTGCGACATCGCCAGAAAAAAAGCATTTAAAAAAATTCTTGGTCTAAACTATAAAAAATCACTTTAAACACACACACACACATACTTCTACACCTAACAACAATAATTGTCTTGTCAGTGTTTTTTTATTGTTAATGCCGCTGCTGCTGCTGCTACCTTTTCATACTTAAATTTTGTTATTGTTTGTTGTTTTAATGTTTTTAGCCGGTTTTTTTTATTGTTTGTGTAGTTGCTTTCATTACACTTTTTTCTGGTTTTGTTGTTCTTTCTTTTTCTTCTTTTTTTGTTTAGTTGGAGAGAGCAATAATTTCGTAATATGTAAAACAGTAATGTCAATTTAGTAGTTTTTGTAAAAAAGGTACTAAAATGATAATATATTCAAAAACTTTTAATAAAGTTATTGATGGTTTATTGGAGGAATTTTGCTCCGAGCTCAACAACCAAGAAATACCAAAAATCGGATTTAAACAAATGCCAAATGAGGTTAAAAGTCTTAATGAAATATGTCTTACAAAAAAACTAACTTCAAGGACCCACAGAAGGCATAAAGTTCTACTCTTTCAGGAAGGAGGTCTTGGGTGTGATTCCAACCAGAGATACCAAAAAACAAGCGTACAACAGGAGCTAGAAGTACTTCTTCGGATAATAATAATAATAATACCCTGGATACAATGATTCCCTCCTGATCTGGGAGATATATTGTTATTCCTGAGATATCGAACTAAATCAACTGGTACTTCTAACAAATTTGTTAAGATTCATTAGATCATGTTACTATATCTAGTTCGCTAATGGGCCCATTTTGCGATACTTTTAATGGATAATATTGAAAGTAAAACTTTATACCGAGATCCAAAGGAAAGAAAATATCAGAAACTCAATTTCCTGGTTGTTATTTGAGAGAATTTCTCATTAGTGGTCCTACCCACTCTTTCATTATCCCTATAGCTCATATGGTATTCTCTAGTCTATATATGTCAGGTAAACAACCTCAAGCTCCCCTTCCTTTATTTTCATTCGATTATCCTCGAGCCTAGTAACCATGGGAAGCAACAAATACGCCTAGCACACTCACGGGACCTTTGTGCGATTCTTTTAATGGATTATGTTGAAGAAATAACTTCATGAAGAGAAGTATATATCAGACAATGCTCAGAAACTTGATTTCCTGGATATAGTTTCTGAACATTTCTCATTAGTGGTTCTACTCACTATTTAATTATTCCAAGTGCTCGTATGGTATTCTCTAGCCTCAGGTTAACATCCTCAAGCTCCTCATGACAATGCCTTGAAACTCAATTTCCTGGATATAGTTTGAGAGAATTTCTCATTAGCGGTCCCACTCACTCGTTCATTATTTCAAGTGGCCGTATGGTATTCTCTAGTCTATATACGTAAGGTTAGCATACTTAAGCTCCCCTCACTTTATTTCCTTTAGATTATACTGGAGTCTAATACCCATAGGAAGCAACAAATACGCCTAGTACACTAATGAGACCTTTGTGCGATTCTTTTAATGGATAATGTTGAAGAAATAACTTCATGAAGAGAAGGATATATCAGACAATGCTCAGAAACTTAATTTCCTGGATGTTTCTGAACATTTCTCATTAGTGGTCCTACTCAATCGTTCATTATTTCAAGTGTTCGTATGCTATTCTCTATATGTCAGGTTAACATCCTCAAGCTTCCTTTATCTTCTTCCGATTATACTCGAGTGGTTTAGTACTCGTGGGAAGTAGAGCTTATCACTGGAAGTATATTCAGTTATGACTAATACGTTCTTTGATTAAACCTATTCATCTGATGTTACATAAGTCGAAGTGCTTTAACCTGTCGTGTTGGCTCTATTTCAAGGTGGTATTTTTACAACCACAAGGTGAGCTTATTAGACCACTCACCACCACCCCTTTCTGATTGTGTTCAAGCCCTTGAGCTTTATAATCTCTGACCATTGCTGTCCCGTTGCTTAACTTCCGAGATGCAAAAACATCACTTCCGTTTACAACCACAGCCACCAAGGGACCCCTCCAATAACCGGGACAGAGAAAATTTTGAAACTCTGCTCTGTGGGCTACCAGTTCCCATGGTAGCAGCTTATAAGACCCCCTGCTTCGACCCCAGGTCAAATCATTTCAAGAAAAAAATAGTACTTTTGTTTATAGACCCGGCAGCCTAGATCACATCTCTTCGCACGGATTGCAATAACATCGAGATGGTGAAGATCATCAAGGTAACATGACCCCAGGGGAACCTTATGTCACAATTGGCTACTAGTTAACTCAATCCATTGTACATACTCCGTAACAGCACGGACTTCAGCCTGAAAGCTAGTGTTGTAAATAGGTAGACGGTAGTTTTTCTCGTTATGCGGGTTTCCATTCCTTCTCTCACTTTAAAGACAACCGTATTATTATTTCCACCGCCAACCACGATCTCTCACCTATGATTAATAACTTACATTTTTCGGCATGCGATCGGACACCCTTGGTATTTGTTTATAACCGTCCAATATGTTCAGTCGACTTTGTTCAGTTTGCCTAAAAATAAGAATGGACCGATTGAGAGTTCCGAGCATTTCGGTCGGTGGAATGTTCAGCAATGTTTCTAAAATTCGTATCCATTTGATTATGGTCACATATACACCCAAGCATCTTGTATGCCGAACTTCTTGCAGTGGTAATATGTTACACTTTTAGACCACCGCAAGTTGATTTATCAGCAGAAACTGTGGACTTCATATGGCCCCAAAGGAAATGATAGAGCCTTAGAAAAGAATCGAAATTGAAGAACTAACCTCTAACAAATGACCAGAAAGTGGTACTATCCCAGCGAGGAGGTAAGATCTTTAGATGACCAGGCTTATGTTAAGCAAGTTTCCGCCGATTACAGCTCCTTGACGGCACGTTGGACTTTGCATGATCTTACAGATCCACGAAATACAATTTTCAAAGATTCTGTCTCATAGAACCGATTGAATTTGAAATGCAACTCCTAAACAACAGACTAAATATGGTTTTAAATGGAAATGTTTCAGATTTTTGTCTTATGGACTCTTCCGAAGTTAATAGTTTCCGATTTTTCTTCAAGTCTATTAGAAAACTGTGCTTAATTTATTAAAAATTAAGAATTGTTAATACTAATGCAGATGTGGCGGTTTTCAGTCTTTGAAGTGTAAGTGTTTAATCACTTTCAGAACTTGTTTGTGGCTCATTCTTCAGCTACTTCAAATGTCACAAATTCGAATTGATCACAACAGAAAAAACTGGTTTCAAAGTCTGCATAATGTGTTATTAATATTCTTGTTTGAATACTCAATTAGTAAAGTACTTTTTGGAATGCAGTTGATTCTAAAATATCTTTAATTATTACCGTTAAAACCGTTAAACGTGAGTTTTATTCAATTTTGAATATGAATTTGATTTTAGGCATACTAAGTTGCTAGTTAGCAGAGTTAGGATATAGTTTAGGTTGAAAGGAGGTTCTACTACTTCAAGTTTGAAGAAATATATAGCTGGGCCACCATCGGATCTTTTGTTCGCTCGTTTATATACCAAATGTTGATGGAAAAATCTTAATTAGTACATCATGTTTAGAAACTTAGTTCCCTGGAAATAGTTCCTTAGAATTTTCTCATCAGTGTTCTTGAAGAATGTATAAGGAATAACATTGCTTGCAAGATATTTTGATTGCAGTCTGACAATGACAAAGAAAGTCTTTCCCAAGTTTTACAGTCCGCTCCGCACAGTGTATATTCCTGGGCCACCATAAGACCTTTTGTTCGTTCGTTTATATAGAAAATTGTTACGAAAACATCTGAAGTGGTGCTTTATGAAGGTATTAACGCTTCATGTCGGGAAGTTCAGTTCCCAGAACGTAGTTCCTTAGAATTTTGTCATCAGTTTTACTGAAGAATGTAATAGGAATAAAGATATTTGCATGAAATTTCGATGACAGCCTGCCAATGTCAAAAAAGTGTTTCCCTAGTTTCATAGTTCTCTTTGCAAACTCTACATTCGTCTGAATCCGTCCTATTGCGTAGGCTTGGGACTCAAATCCTTTGTAACTCCTTAGGATACGTTCTTCTCTCTTTAGGATATTATCTGACATATGTAATAGATGACATTTGGACGACAACCTGACAATGGCAAATAATAAGTTTCCCGAGTTTTACAATCTTCTTCGCATACTCTACATACATCTGAATTTGTTCTTCCAATTACCTAAGCTTGGAACCTAAATTCTTTGTAACTCCTTAGAATACGTTCTCCTCTCGTTGGAACCCAAATCCTTTGTAACTCCTTAGGATGCGTTCTTCTCTTGTTAGGATATTATCTGACAAATGTAATGGATGACATTTCGACGACAACCTGACAATGGCAAATAATAAGTTTCCCGAGTTTTACAATCCTCTTCGCATACTCTACATACGTCTGAATTTGTTCTTCCAATTACCTAAGCTTGGAACCCAAATTCTTTGTAACTCCTTAGAATACGTTCTCCTCTCGTTAGGATATTATTTGACAAATGTAATGGATGACATTTCGACGACAAACTGACAATGGTAAAGAAAGAGTTTCGAAGTCCTCTCCGCATACTCTACTTTTGTCTGAATCTGTTCGCCCAATTACGCTTGGAACCCAAATCCTTAGAATACGTTCTTCTCTCGTTACGTAGGCTTGGGACCCAAATCCTTTGTTACTCCTTAGGATGCGTTGTTCTCTCGTAAGGATATTATCTGACAAATGTAATGGATGACATTTCGATGACAACCCGACAATGGGTCTCCGCATACTCTACTCTCGTCTGAATCTGTTCGCCCAATTATGCTTAGAACCCAAACCTTTGTAACTCCTTAGAATACGTTCTTCTCTCTTTACGTATGCTTGGAACCCAAATCTTTTGTAACTCCTTAGGATATGTTTTTCTCTCGTTAGG